TTGGATTAATTGTTTGAGAGTGACCGGTCTAATAGATTGTTCAGCATACTAGAGAATTTTATTAATCCATTGTGTAATTAAACAAATTAACACATGTACAATTAATCGAATGCTTAAAAACCTACCTTGGTAACTTTGTCATCATAAAAAGATACCACTTGTGTGGTATATCTATATCTCTGAGGAAGAGAAGTAATTTTTAGGCAATTACAATTCAAATGTTCCAGGAAGATACCAAACCGAAATGTTCTAACAGCCATCATCCTAATTTAACAATTTTTATTTTTTTTATTTTTTTTTATTTTTATTTTTCAAGGTCATGCCTCAGTTTTCTTTATTAAGAATAGTATAAGTTACATTATGCAGTGTTCATGTAGTACATTCTATTTCTACTAGAAAAACTAAGGCTAATTTAGTTTTTGGTGGGAACGATTATTATAAATTTTTATACTATATGGGTTAAAATTAATAATGTTACATCTCTCGTTTACAGGAAAACGATCTTTTATATACATATCGTAATTACATAACCCAATTACCGAGAATGAGGTAAGAGAAATGAAAGACTGCACTATTTACAAGAGATGTGGTAATAAACCGCTACAGATAACGGGTTGATAACGGCAATATAGTAATGACATCTGGAAAATTTTTTTAGTGCAGATTTGCAAAAAAATAGCCACAGAAATTAAATACAATTCTGTGCAAAATTTCAAATTATGAAAAATTATATTTGAAAAGCGGATATTGGTCAAAAGGTTACATTTAAAAGTGGATAAAAAGCTTTTAATGTATAGATTACATTTAAAATTTGGATAACAAAATAAAATAAAAAAAAAAAGAGAAAGAAAAGATTTTTTTAAAAAAAAATTGTATATTTGATAATTGGATAAAATTAATTAAGTATTAAAGCTATATGTAAAATATGGTTAATTAGTTTTATAAAAAGTGGATAAAGATTTAAAAAGTTTATATTAAAGCTAATGTAACCTCTATACAGTATATATTGTTCGGGATCCTGTCTTAACACTCTATACAGACAAAATTAGCTTTATTGAATTAATAATCCTAATTGACCTAATTATCCTTATTGACCGATTTGTCCCTATTGGACCAAATTTCCTTATTCTTTTCTTAAACACCTCAAACGGTACTTTAATCCAT